GAAAGAAAGAAAGAAAGAAAGAAAGAAAGAAAGAAAGAAAGAAAGAAAGGAAGGAAGGAAGGAAGGAAGGAAGGAAGAAAGAAAAAAGAAAGGAAGGAAGAAAGAAAGAAAGAAAGAAAGAAAGAAAGGTGGGAAGGAGGGAGGGAGGGAAGCAGGAACTAAGTAAGGAAAAACTTACAAATTCAAATTAAATTCCTTGTAAAATAAGGCACCCCATTAATAAAATTATTCTCATATCTCAATATACTGACTTTTGTCTCTAACAAACTACTGTCACACATACTGTAGATATGTACCTGTACACAATTCTTCCACAAATATTCTTTTTATTTTTATTTCCATTAGAAGCCCCTCCCCATGCGCGCATGTGCGCCGTCCCCCGCCTGCCACACGATATAGGTGAAAATTTTAAATCTTTTTTTTTTTTGTTATGCCCAAACAGGGATTTCCTTACTTTCTTGATTTTTCCTGGCTCTTTCATCTTTTCTCTGGCTCAACTCAATACATTCCCTCCCCCCTTTATTATTCATTTTTTGAGGATTGATGGATTAACTGTTGTCAAGTTCTGGTTGACATTCCGTGGCCTCCTAGACAGGCTTTTGTCCAGGATGAATTTTCTGAGGGGAGCATCTTCAAATTTAAAATGGTCTTTTATCAGCATAAAAATAACAGCGCTCTAAAAGGCAGGAACAAAATTCAACAGTAATCTGACAGACAGCCTGCAGAAAATAACAGAGCAAAACTTAATAAAAGCAAATTAGGTTTCTCCACCAAACAAAAAAAGAGATCGTCAAACGCACAGTTACAAGATAAAATGGAATGAAATTTAATAAAAGATAAGGTTCTTCACAAGCAAGAACGACATCAGTGAATGCACAGTTACAGGATAAATGGTGCTTGGTTTTGATAATGTTATACTTGTAAAGTAGTTTGGAATGGTAGCTGATCACAACCCAAATATAAGGAATTTTGAGTGATGTTGGTTGCTAAAAAAAAGGAAAGGCAATTTCAGTCTACATCCTAATTCCATATAATGGGAAGTAATCGTTCCATTATATCTTAATTCAACTGATGATAGCAGGTACATTTTTGGCTACCCACATTCATAAGAAAACAAAAC